AAGGTAAATGGCCCAAACGATTATGCCAAAGCATAATTTGACCCATAGACCTTGACTCACTATCCCTGCTGACATGATGACTCTGATGAGGAGGAAGCACATCCAGGAGGTAGATCCCATTCACTTCACGACCACTCCCAATCGCCCTCTTTGAATCCAGATCCTGCAAAATACAATGACCAGGAGAAAACATTACTGAGCAGTTCAGGTTCTTAATCAAACTACTAACAGATAATTAGTGCTCAATCTGGGAACATGAAGGACAGAGGGTAGAGAAATAAAATCACTAAGCTTGACAGATCCCTTCCCAGCAATGGGAACATGGGATCCATCAGTTGTGGAGACCCTATCTCTGCCAGAATAGAGATAGTAAGAAGAAAAAATAGTAGAGCTATGGGCCATGTGCTCTGAGGCTCCAGAATCTATAACCCAAGGAGGTCCCTCCTTACTTGAAGTAGAAACATAATTTGCAGTGACGTGTGAACTACCTGTATGAGCAAAGTAGAGTGGACTCCACCAGTACCGCCTGTACCTTGTTGTCCGCTTGCTGCTGAACTAGAACTGGCTGTATCCCGCTGGTTCAGAAGTTTCCCATACCTCTCAAGTTCGGCCCTTACTGCAGCAACTGCAACAGACTCTAGAGCAGTTGTAGTAGGAGGGGCCAGAATGTCTCCAGTAACTTCCATTTGAGCATTTCCCTTCTTATTTTTCAATCTAGTCGGCACAAGATGTGGGTGAAGCTTCCAGCAAGTATCTCTTGTGTGTTTAGGCTTCTTATAGTAGTCACAGATCAGATCTCTTTTATCTTTCTTCTTGATTTCACTGTCACCCCGATCTCCACTTTGTTTAGGTTTCATAGTACTCACCATGGCAGACTGATCAGAAATAGGATTTTTCATCATCACGTCTCTCCTGCTCTCCTCCCCTGACACAAAGGCATATGCCTGGGAGAGGGTAACACTGTCCCTGGAAAGAAGATATGGTGAGCTAGCATTGATCAGAACACCCTATACTTCTCTAGATGTTTCTAATAGGTAGCTGCATCCTTAGTGGTTTCCCAAGCAAATGTCTCTAAATGGTCAATCTCCTGCCACAGGGTTTTAAGGGCTGAAAAATAGGCTGCAACAGGTCTATCTCCCTGTCTTGTAGAAATAATCTGATTTCTCAACTGATAAGCCCTAGCAACATTCTCCCTTTGTGAATAGGTTTCTGCAACCCCATCCCATATTTCCTTACTTGTATTTGCCCATAAAAAGCTTTTACTTATATGGGGCAACATGGAATTACACAACCAAGTCATCACCATATAATTCTCTTGTACCCACCGAAAGTTGCTAGTTTCGGGTTTCACTTCTTCACCAGTGATATACCCTAAATTCCCACGAGCACCAATGGCCATCTTTGCAGATTGTGACCATTCTAAGTAATTTGCAACATCCGACCTAACTGTAGTAATGGTCCCAGTCCCGAAAAGGTCTCCAGCACCCCCTCCCACTAGTCTCATTTCACTCCCGGGCTTATTTTCAACTCCGTGACCCTCCATGCTTCTCAAAAAGTGTAAAGAAAATAACTGAAATATGCAAGAAGATCAAATGAAACACTTCTGGAACCAACACCTTTTTGGTGTCCTAGACTATCTTCCCACAAAAGATTCCTTTTTTGTGGGACGGAAGAAGAGAGAGAAGAGGCAGCCACTCTCTCTAGAAGCCTCCAAATCAGGCAGGACTTGAACCGCCCCTTACAGAAAACTCCAAGGAACCCTAAAAAATTAGGGCGCCACTTCTTAGGTCAAAATTGAAGAGTCCAACAGAAACAGGACTCTTCCCCTTTCTCCAGTTTTTCCTGATTTTGGTGAGAAACCCTAGACCAGTTACAGGGCAAACAAATCCACCAAAAAATCCAAAAACTGGGCTTACTTGAGATCTTCGATCAGCCTCTTAAATCACCATGCAGTCGGCCGATCTAGAGCTACATGAGAAAACAACTCAAGGAACCTTCGGCCTGCTCTAATACCAAGTAGAAATCACTAATTGCAGATTTAGTTGAACTTCTTGTGAAGGGAAAGAGGAGGAAGATGAAGATTTCAGCAGTAGAGAAGAAAAGAGGAGGAGAAAAGAGTAGGAAGTCAACCAGGATTCTTAGATNACTTAATTTAAAGGATGAGATATTACAAGGATGCCCTTAGTAGGGCGGCTACTAATGTAGCTGAACAGTCACAACTTAAAAACATAAACTAATGGGCCTAAAKCCCAACAACTTYCWAACTAAATAAMTTAAAATAAGAATAAAAACAACTAGGCCCAACTCAACAATAGGTAACATCATGTGGAAGAGTGCTAGGGCGGCAATAATCTGGGCAGTGTGGGAAGAAAGAAATGCAAGAATTTTTAGAGAAAAGGAAAGAACAAAAGAGGCCTTGATTGAATCAATATTGATCAGAGTAGCTCACTGGCTGAAATCCTTAGAAAGCTTCTCACATATATCCATTGATGACATCATTAGAAATTGGAAGGAAGTGGCAGACTCAAATGTCAATAAGCAGCCTGTTATTCCTATCTGGTCCCCTCCTGAAAGAGGATTTATAAAGCTTAACTTTGACGGAAGTAGCATGGAAAACCCAGGTAGGTCAGGAATTGGAGGTGTATTCAGGGATGAGGAGGGTACAGTGTGTGCAATATTCTCAGGCCCAGCAGGTGAAGGAGACTCACTAAGAGCAGAAGTAATGGCAGTTATGGAAGGGGTGCAAAGGGCTAGAACCATGAATGCTAGAAAGCTAATCATTGAAGGGGATTCCAAACTGGTAGTGGCTTGGCTACTGGATGAGGAAAGTAGGATGTGGAAATACAAYAGTGAGAAGAAAAAATTCAGATGGATCACAAAGGACATGGAACTGAGAATATGATGGGTGAAAAGAACAGCTAATTCGATGGCTGATGCACTAGCCAAGCATGGGGTTGGGAGAAATCTAACATTATGGGCACAAATGCAATTTTTAATTAAAATTAAAGGGGAGAGATAAGAGGGTTTGTCTCTCTCCCACTTTCTCTTGTACACTTTCTTTTAAATTCAATGAAGTTAACAGTTATTTATCAAAAAAAAAAAATGCTTATACCATGCTTGTGCTATTTTAAGCTAGCTGTCATTTCCTAATGCTTATATCTTGCCAGATTTAATTAAAACTTCTCACACAGAATTATTAAAACTATTCTACATCTTTTAGAAATGTTAATTCTATTAAGTATTCAATTGTCCATTCAGTATCACATGTATTTCTGGTAAATATCATGTCAAACTCAGCTGGTGAGAGCATGTACAAGGATCCAGGCACATAAGTGTCTTGAGATGAGATATTTTTAGCTACTTCCTCTTAGGGGAGTAGATGATTCAGCTGGCAGGATCCATGTCCTACTTGTTCAAAATGTTGATGAATATCGGTTCTTCCTGAGGTTTTTGAAGAGCAGGAATTTGGGCCTCTTGCTTTTGCTGGATGATTAGAAACATTGGAAAAAGGGTTTGGGTTGTGCCATAGACATGATAGAGTATAAAATAGTGTATTAGGCGAATCAATTATCATGGGCTAATAGCAAACCATTTAGATTAGTTGATAATATTAGTTGACTTTTTTATGAAAGATTCCTGTGAAAGGTTTCAATCCATGTTAAAGTCCTTGTGAGAATTCTTAATTCATTAGTAGTAGCCTAGTAGGTAGGATCCATGTCACAACAAATAGAGATTAAGAAAGTGTTGGATTCAGCACTGGTCTTAAGGATAGATTGACTTATCATACCACTGGGTAGTATGTTATTATGGTTGTCTAATGTAAGGCACATAGTTGTCAAGGCGATGCCTAGGTGACAAGGCACCCTTGGAGGCCTCTCCTAATTGCCAAGCAGTTTTGTGCACTATGTTATAAAATACTATTATATTCTTAATTTTAAAGATTATAATTATAAAATAGACATTATTAAACTAAAATAATCAGTTTGTGTGTTTATATACTGAATTCTTTTTTATTATTTTCTTATTTGTTAGGGTTTAATCAACATAAACATTGCTAACTGCTGTATTGAACCCTCAATGACTTCAAAACCTGAACCAATAAGGAAGAACTTAAAATTTTGTCTAATCAACACATTTTCTTCTTCCACCTTTCTTCTTTTCCTATAAAAATAGGGGGTCAGCCCCTATATTTTTTTAATATTCTTTTCTTCTTTTTCTTCTCATGAATATGTTAATATTCTAGACTTCAATATGAAGTTTATACTTTTCTTATGAAAATTATGGATAATTATTAAGGAAATATAGTTATGAAACCTAGGTAAGTAGGTAACTACCTAGTATATATGTTTTTACTAAAAAATAATCCATCGCCTAGGCAACAAGGCATACCTCACCTTGGTGCCTTGAAAACTATTGTAGGCATATGGAATTTCATTTTGGTAGAACATTTCATCTCTCGAGTGGGATTCTTGTTTGGGTTGACAATCCATTGCCTCCCCTATTTTTTGGGTGTGTTTGTACTTTGTATTTTTAACCTTCCATTAGATGCATGAAAGTGTTGGAGTTAAATTAGTTTGTGTGGCAAGTCTTGATTTCCACAATTTTGTGTGTGTGTAGGGGGGGGTTAGGGTCTGTTACTATTTCTTTGTTGATATATGAAAGTGGCTTTGGATGGTTTTCTTTTGTAGCTTATTGTTTTCTTCTTTCATTTCACTTTTACTTGCTTTTTAAACAAAATTCTTCACTTGGACTTTTGCACCAAGAAAACCATTTCCATCTCTACTTTTATTCTTGTATGCTTATCTTCATGACTACTGCAATTTCAAGTTCATTTACATTTTGAACCTCTTCCTATGCATCATCATTTTCAACTGGTCCATTGTTCCATGATTCTGACATGTCAATATCCAAGTCACACCTCTTCGAAGATGCATATCATAATTTTGTTTCATTTGGGCTTCTCTTTTTTTTTATGTGAAGATTGTTGTCTACTTCTGCAGGTCCCTTGATATCTGTTAAGCCAAACAAAGAATTAAGAAGAATTTTCATCACTCACACCATGAGGAAAAGGACGAATAGAACAATGTTTTTCTGAAGCACCAATAGTTCCACAACCACCAGCTCTCCCAAAAAGATGCAAGTGTTTGAGATTTGGAAACCTTTTCATGGGAGAACATAGTGTTTTCTGCAATTGTTTAATAATCACTTCTTTTGTATATCCTTATTTGCTGGCTTAGCTGTTATGAGCATTGCATGTGGCTTGAGTGTGCAAACTCTCGAATGTAGTCCTGTATGTCAGGCAACTGAACTAGACGGGCCCCAGCTGCAAGCACATTTATGCAAATTCCACAAGTTAGGTCTATACCCAGTCCACCACATAGGGCAATGGTCCTTTTTTGACGAGGAATGGTGTAGTAAACTAGTAGTTCCTTATTCTTCTGATCGGAAACAATCCTTGTAATTTGCAATTGATGGTTCTTGATTATCTGTCTGTATAATCAATAGAACGGTGGTATAAATAGTGATTTTGGGCTCTTGTCAAATGCGTGAGGCAGTTCAAAACTTCAAAATATGTGTTATTTCCGTTTGTATTCTTGATAAGCACATGTACTGGTACAAAATTTTATGAAGGGTACTCATGGTTGCTTATTTTGTTCATTAAGATTTTTATGTATCATCTTGAGCCCATGTACTATTAGCACATTCTTTGAACTACGTAAGCTATTGCCATCTAAAATATTTAATATCAATTTGTATTCATCTTGGATTGGCTAAAGGTTTTTATGGAATCGGGATCTGGCATCAACTAGACACTAAAATACAAGTACAGGAGATGTTTTCGATGTGTGGTTAGTAGTAGCGTTTTAGGGTTAGCAGATCCGGGCTCTATGCCCGTTGCCAACATGACACAATTTTCCTTTAGATTTAGGACTGGCGGTGTAAGACAAGCTGATACTGGAGTTACCTATGAAAAAACTGTGTTGATGATGTTTACATGACAATAAGGTCCAACCAGATCCCTAGAAGTTTGTTATATAATGTTATGTACCAGACTAATATTACCTTTATTAAAATTTAAGTTCCATGACATTCAGGCTTAGCATTAATCAGATTTCATCTTAATTGTTCACCTTTAAATGCTATAGAAAGTAGAACCAGAGGAGATTCTGGAGTCAATATCTGCCTCTCTAGTCTCTATCCCGTTCCCCCTATAATATAGTGAATCAAAGGGACTCTCAGGAAATTTAGTCGTAGGCAGGATCATTTTGAGGCAGTTCAGTCTTCTCCCCCATGTTCACTTCAATTGCAGGTTCATCAAGTTGATTCACTGGTCGAGTTCCTCTAACAGAGTACATGTTTTACGACCTCTTACTTTGAATGCCCCCCAACTTGTATTATTGCAAGGATTCTCAGATTGGGCCGGGCTTGCACCCCTGAAAGATATACTTTGTACCATAATTAAGACTGTTTAGATTGGAGTGGAAGCGGAAAAGGGAGATGGGAAATGTATTGTAAAATACTCTTTAAATAATTTGGGTTCATTTCTGACCTGATTTTTGAGGTGTTTTGGGGCTCTGAACTCATTTTGATGGAAAACAATCTTTGAGGGGGTGAATAGGTGGGTGGGTTGATAATTTAGGCCGATATCAAGACTTTAACTTTAAACCTTGGGAAAAATTTTAAGCTTTAAAATCCTTAGCCATTTTTAATATCAAAATATTGAAACATTGATAGATAATATTACTTGGCAGAAACAGTAATGAAAGGACTAATAAAGTGGGCTTCAGGGCTGATATGAACTAGATGATTGAACATGAGGCATATCCATCCAGGACGCCCCTACTGGGTGAATCAAGGTTCAATGTATCACACACCCCGATACGCCAGAAGGGCTGTATTGGTACTTTGAACCTAATGCAACCTTTTTCTTTTTTTTTTATAAAAAAGAATAGGTTATGGCGTATGTCTTAGGTCTCTCTATCCCCTGAAATGGTTCAAAAGGCCAAAAGTCATGAATTTAACATATCGATGATTCATTGATGCAATATATATAGGCCAATACGGGCTGATATTTGACAAAACCTCTTAATAAAATCGCCTAATGGTGAGTAGTCAAACCTCTAAATAGGAAAAAGAAAAACCATGGCCACAAATAATACCTAAAAGTCACATATTTTGATAATCTGTGTGAAATGCAAATTATCAAGACATACTTGAAAATGTTGGAAATAATGAAATTTAGGTCAGACCAATATTTAGTCTCATGTTTTCTTTTAACTCTTATGGAGCTGGCTTAAAACTTGATTATCATAGCTTTTTTTTTTTTTTTGAGAGAGAGAATATCATAGTATGTTGATGTAGTTTGATGGTGAGCTCTTGGTAGCCATATTGGGATCAAAATTGTTATATGCTCGCTGATTTATTCAAATGAATTTGAAATTTGAGCATTGCACAAATTTTTTTTATCCAAATTAGTAGCCTTAATTAATGTACTAAAAATTCGAAGAAAAAATTAATGGGGATTGAATAAAGTAATTGATATAGTAAAATAAAAATTTAATGGGCCTTCATCAGCTTGTATTGATTTATATAGACAATGATAATAGCCGATATGGGTTGGCATAGATTTATATAAGTGAAATACCAACGATACTAGGCCATTCCACATGGCTAAAATCCAGGGATGTCAGTGGGTTGGGTTTGGCTTGAAATGCCTGCCTTCAATCCCAACCCGATGAAGATGTATCGAACCCGACCCATTTAATGTGCTTATACTCGTTCAAGCCTAAATATATAGAAATTTTTCAATGCTGTAATAACCCAAATTCTGATTAAGGCTGACCCAACCCTAACCCTATTCGGGTCAGTGTGGGTTTATCACTTTAACAAACACTTGATAAAAAAAAGCTTTGGTTTTAATTTTTAAATTCTAACTTCAAGCAGCCTTTTATAAAAACTGAAATTGATATTTTTGAATAAACTTTAATAAGCTTTACATCAGTTTCCGAAGTCATTATGCATGTTTTAATTTTGAGTCTGAAAGTTAAACCATTTTTCTCTCTGGGTTGCAGATCAAATTTTCAACTGTCTGGTCAGACCGTGACTCGTTATCAAACACATTTTATTTGAGGTTTAATTTTTATTGTAGTATTTTTATAAATTAGAAAAAAAAAAAGTTACAATTTTAAATTTTGAGGTTATAATATATCGTTTTTTGGCAAAAATAGTGGGCCAAGGCTTATGGCATTTGGATATTTTCGTACATTTTATATATATAGAAATTTATAACCCATGACCTTTTGCTTGGTGAAACGGATTGATAGTTCAACCACCCAAGTCAGAGAAAAAGCCAGGAGCAGGAGTCTGGATCTCCTGCCCATGAGAGCTCTGCCCATGTATCGCAGTCACACATGGAGAACATCTCATCCTCTGCATAGTATTATGCAGGAGGAGATGTTCCCAATTCACAGGGGATAGTATATTGTGGGTAAGCGTGGGCAGAGTTCTTGTGGGCAGAAGAACCGGTGTCAAGTGGAAGAGGGAGCCCTGGCCCCTTTAACTTCTAAGCCATGTTCCCAATTCACGGGGGATAGTATATTGAGGTATATATGAATCTGATCCGGTTCAAATCCATTAAGAATGTTGGATACTTAGACCCGACCCAATTTCATTTCTAAAAATTTTAATAAATTATTAAAGGGAAAAGATATAACAGTTTATGTAAAAATAAATAAAAAATACAAGTATTTTTCAATTATATATATATATATATTTACTTATTTATATATGTGTGTGAATTCAATCTGATTTTTTTATTAGATTCTATTATCCAATCCAATCCAAAAATCCGGTTTAGGGGTATCCGAATGGGATCAGATTTCAGATAATGATCAAGCCACTTACACCCCTACATAAATTGCTTATTCGATTTCCCCCCACCCCCCCCCCCCCCCCCCACAAAAAAAAAAAAATCCTGCTCCACCAATCATTGGGTTTTTAATAAAGTCAAGGGTTTCTAAGCAATTTTCAGGTTTAGGGTTTAAACAAATTGATCGCCCAGGTCAATGACAGTTTAAAAACACTGATTGTAGGGATTTATATGTTTTCCCTGGTTTATCCATGCATTATCTTATTTTTTCCACCTTATCAACGCATATAGGAAGTGTATCAAATACATTTCTTAAAATTACGTTTATTGATTAATTTTCATTGCAGCATGAATTTGTGAATGATCAAAATTAACCATGAATTGGATATTAATCCTACGATGGAACCAGGGAACATTACCACCCTGCTTCATTCCATGTATTCACCTTTCATTCTTCAACAGCCTATTATACATTCAATAGCCTCTAAGAATGATGTCCGAGTATTCAAAATTTGTTGTTAAGAACAGATATGGAGCACAATGAACCATTATGGAAAAGATATGGCACAACCGTGGACTACAAAGAGAATTTAACACCTTCATCATCAGTAGATGCACCCTTGAAGATTGCAACCTTCCCCTTCTGTTCTAGTAATTTCAGAGCCCGCATCAGCACCGTTCGGTCCATCCCATGAAGCTCTGGGGCACAGGCAGAAAGAAAGTAAAAGGAATTCAGTTTCTTGTATGATAATGATAAGAGATTATATTTATAGAATGTACAGATTCATGTTGGTGAGGCATCCTATAGTTTAATCATAATATGGAAGCATTTTAGTTCTATTTGGAAGCTATTATATTTTAAGCGTATCTACCAAATTTAATGGCCAGGATATATCTGTCTAAATTGGTCAGTTTCCTGCACGAGATCAACCAGTCCAAGAGCAAAATCATTTCAGTATTATTACCAACCAAGATCGGAAGATGCCTCAATCTACATTATGATACCGAGATAATGGCTTGCAAATAAGAATGAGCATGCTAAACAATTCAATATGATGACACATGAATAATTTTTTTGATCAATAACAAAAAAAGATTGATTAAAAAATATACATAAAGAAAACAGAAATGTGCAAAACAGCCCAATCTTAGGCTAGACAAACCAGCCTAACCCATCAAAATTTTACTCTTTTACAAGTGAGCTCAGAATAATTGATCCCTAGTTACCGTTTGTTTGGCCAGTCCATTTGCCTATCTAGAAACTCAATGAACTGTAACCTCCATATTTCTCATAATCCATTTAATTTCCTTGATCTCTTGCCTGAAATACCACAGCCCCTGTTCATTATGCTTTAATCAGCTTATCACCACTTGTGAATTACCTTCAAAAACAACTCTTGTTAGATTCCATTCCTGTGCCAACCTTAATGCATGCAACACAGCCATCAGCTCTGCCCTTGTAGAACTACCACTCTTGGGCCTGAAAATAGGGCAAGAAACTCTCCATTCTCATTTCTAACATTTCTAAAGACAACAAAAGTGGTGATAAGCTGACTATGCTATAATCAGCTTATCTTTATAAATCCCCTTCTTGGTGGATTCCACTGCATCTGCCTTACTTCTATTTATGTCAGTTGGTGACTTCCTTAGTAATATAATCCATTGTGTGTCTGAAAAAATGTGCATTGTTTTCATACAATGCATCACCCTCACTGTAATGCAATCAATAACAGCTTCTATTGTCTTTTTCTCATCATTAAAAATTTTTACATTTCTTTCTTCCTAAATTGTCCAAATGATTGCAGCCCTAGTACATTTCACTGTTACTCTTCCATTTTTTCTTGGGATATTTAAGAAAGAAGGGTTGGCAAACTTATCAATTCTGGGGGTGGAGTCCATTTGCAACCAAACTGTGAGAGAAACCACTCCCAAATGATTGCAACAAATGGATTGGAGATTAGTAAATTATTATGAAGGTTCCCCACTTGCAAAGCAAAGAAATCACACATTTGGAGAAAAACACCAATTGGGTCTCCTCTTTTGAAGAACATCACAAGTGTTGATCCTTTCCCAAAAAGCCTCCTAGCAGAAAACCATAAATTTTTGGGGCACTGGTTTACTCCAATTGTTTTAACTGCAAAAGGTGGGAACAAGGGGAGGGGGGAGAGAACAAAGAAGGCATGAGAAAAGGATCCCAAAGGATGGGCAGTCCAACTATGACTATTAGGCAAAGAATTATCTGAAAAAAAAAAAAAAAAAAAAAAAAAAAACTTCAAGGAATCCATCAAGCTGATGGATTGTCTTCTAACTCAATAAGCCATATAAGCCATCATAAAATCTAAACTTTCATAATTTGTTGTTTCCAGGGGCCAATAATTTGTGAACACAGACATATCTTATGTCAACCATGCTGTTGCACTTGCATTTTGTCCTTCCCTGAAAAGGGAATACCTTATGCTCTATTCACCTCCCATGCAAGACATGGTCCACAGACTCACATATTGGGACCGTTCATTTATGGGAACCTCTTGGATAAAAGATCACCCTGCTATCACAACAGGAGGAAACCAGACCCCAAGCGAGAGGTAAAATAAGGAAGCTGAAAAAATGCAAGCAATTAAGCATGAAATTGATTTATGGACTGTTGTCCATAGACTAGGGTTGTATTTGGCACCATTGCTGTTTCTTCATGAAACATTTGGAGTTGATCGGTAGAATTGGTAAGAAATATGAGTTGTCACATCACATAAGGGAGTCGCTTCAACCAAAAAAATGCATGTGGGGGACTAATCATTGCCATTTAGAGTTGAAATGTCAAATTTGAACCCAAAGCGTTTCTGGCTATGTGACATGACAACTCATATTTCACACCAATTTCTATTAATCAATCCCAAACCCAACGTTTCATGAAGAAATGTCAATGGTAGCAAACACAACCTAGACTGTTCAGATTGAAGAACCATTTAATGCAGAAAGCGGTTTCACATGTTTAATTTCAAGGTTCAAAGGGATCATCTATACAATCTATCATTAAAAACAAAGTATTGAATTTACCTGTTCCTCGAGATTCAATTCCTGAACGAATTTCCTCAACTGTCATCACGGTGTCTTCAAGCCCATTGTCCTTAGCCTGATCATATAAGCAAGAAAAATCAGAAAGAAAGAAATAGCTGATACTGATTTGTCACTCACATTAAAATTGCCATTTTTACTCACAAAGCGTAAGATACAATCAGCCCAATCTTGAATCCGAAGCCAGAGAATAAGGCATCTTTTGTGTCCCCTATCCATCCATTCTGCACGCCCTGCAAGATTTAAGAAATTAGATATTGGGTTTTTTCTGAGGAAAAAAAAACTGAATATTGTGTTCATGAAAAATGAGATTAAAATAAAATGAAGTTTTGGCACAATCACAACGAACCTTCAGAGACTAGGGCTGATAGAAATGCCTCTTTAGCTTCATGACTGAGAGATCCTGAACAATCACAAAAAAACATAAAATCATTCCACCGTGAATAACAGGCCTAAGAGGGTAATTGAATTTCAATTATATCTTGGTAAATCCATGAAATACCCCTGGCAAGGTTCAAAGTATCAGAAACACAAGGTGTATCAGAAAGACAATTTTAAGAGACATATTGGGATACACTTTGCATAAGCATGGATACGGATGAAAAATCAAGATACACATGGATACACTAGGAAACTCAAATAAATCTTAAGAATTATATTAATAACAATAAATAAAAGTTTTATATAACTATAAATAAGTAATTTAAACGTAGAGAACCATACTTTAATGGTTTATATAAAGTATGAGATATTGGGATACAATTAGTAGCTGTTGAAAGATGATGGGAAAACTAATGCATATATCTTAATTTTCAGAAAATCAATATAATTTACCTTAATTATTATTAATATATAAATTTTAATAATTAATTTTAGCATTTATTGACAAACATCCACTAAGAAAAGAGAAAGTTTACTTAAAAGCAAAACTCATATAATTATGACAAGCAAGTGGGGCATGTCCTAGTGGTGGGCTTACCACTATTACAATCTACTGACCAAGGTTCAAATCTTCTTATTGTTAAAATTTGTAGTTTTTAAAAGTGCTTTAAGGAGTAATTAATGGCTTGTAGTTAAGTATTAATTACCTAAATTATTGAGAGAGAGTGATTAGTGGCTTGTAATTAAGGATTAATTACCTAAGTTAATGAGAGAGAGAGAATGCTTATGGCTCGCAATTAAGGAACAATATTTAAATTAATGAGAGAGAGAGAGAGAAATGAAATTAATAAGAGGAATTCAAATTCAAATTTGAAAACATGAAACCAACTGATACACTACATATTGGGCTGTATTGGCTGATATATTACAAAATTTAAAACCTTGACCCCTGGTCCTGGTGCTTTTAAAAAGGTATAGTCTAATATTCCAGAAAAAAAAAAAAAAGAAAAACACATTACCATAAGAAAGGACTTACTTTCAATAACAGGATTGGAGAAGAGGGGAAATTCTTCCTCTAGTCCAATCACAAAGATCTTCTGAGTTCTGCAGTAATCAAGTATCAGTTCCTTCCAAAGTTGAACCTGCTTTTCCCGAGTTTCCCTTATTGGCTGCAAACTGAAGGGGAAAAAACGATAACATGTTAAAATGAATCATGGGTTTGCATGTCAATTAGGATCTAAGACAGAGATAGAAGGGGTTATGCAATCAATAAAAAAATAATTAAAGACAAGGGACACTGTTCTCCTGGTCCAGAAGACAACAACCATATTATATAAATGCAAGTGTCATAAAAATTCTGTCACTTGTTACAGAAGAAACACTTTATCACAACCAAATGTGAGAAACTCACTGTTGGGAAATATATAGTGAGAAGAAGGATATGTGGACCAACTTTGATTGCTACTATTGTCCCAACTAAAAAAAATGGACTTGCCAGAAAATATATTGGATTTAATATTAAGTCTAGACACCACATTGATGTATATAAACAGATCCATGTGGGAGAACAGGCATATACATACACATAAAAAGACACATGCATGTATGATCATATTGCTTATATATGTAAATATGCACCTATATACATTGCTATGCATAAAGAAAATGCATTAAGATAAGAAAAAGCTAAATACAAGTGGTATACATGTCGAAGGACCCAAAGGAAAAGAAAAGAGCTAAAACTGTAGAATAGGAAGAATAACTAAAAATGCTAAGTCTTTCACTAGCTATACAAAGGAAACAAAGAGGCCCCAGAAAAACCCATCTGGTCAGTGGAACCCATTAATAACTTATAAAGGCAATAACAGCCAGATGGCCCAATACAAATCAAATTGCCACCCAACTCCCCTCCCCCACAAAAAGAAAAAAAAAAAAAAAAACACCTAAAGATACCCAGCCCCACAAAACCTAATCACCATCATTCATCTACTCTACAACTTGATCAAGAGCCAATTTGTTTCTTCTTAGCAATTTCTTTGATTCTTTTTACCCTGGCCCTATCCCACATAAACCCCTTCTCAATCATTCAAAGGTTTTTGAAACCAGAGCATTTCGTCGTTTTTTCTTACTTCTGAGTCTTCTCACCAAAAGAGGAGACACCTCTCTAATTCTAAATATGTGTTCTTCTCAAAGATCTATTCTGCAATTGACTTTCCAACCTCTTCATTGACGGCCGGCCCCTATAGGCCCAGCAACCCTTAGAACATTGTGACTATCTTCAACCCTTAATTTTTCTTCAAAGCCCACATCAGTCTTCTTCATAGGCATCCCGTATTTCTCCTCCAGTTTCCTAAAAGCTTCCCTCACAAATTCCTCACCACCTATGAAGAAAAGTCCAAAAAAGTTACTCCTTCCACTTCAGTAATCACCAGTCTCCAGGTTGATTGAGCTCTCATACTCAACAACATGAGGTTCATCTAACTGGATATCTTCATTTGTTGAACAATTCTCTTCATCATCTTCTTGGTCAATGTTATCATTGTTACTAACTTCCTATGCCATAAAAATCTGATATTTTCTCTCTTTTATACATCATTGAAATTTGAATGAGATTTTGTCAAACCTACAATGCCTTGCCCATTTCAATTTCTTCTTCATCTCCAAGGACCAATCCTTCTTCAAATCTATCATTAAAATTATTCTCCTCTACAGTCCTGGCACCTCCTTTACAATAGAATAAAACAAACTGGCACCTTCTTCTCCATTCACAATCCTTGAGCCTTCCTTACTTTCACCAGAGGTAATTTTTCCCCTTCCACATGCCTCTCTTCTTCTTTCACTCCTCTTTCAGACCAATGTTTTAAAAGTGCAAGGCGCAGGGGCCAATTTGCACCTGAGGCGCAAGGCGCAAGGCACAAGGCGAGTCACGCGCCTTTTTGAAGCAAGGCGCAAAAATAAAAAAAAAAAAAATCTAAAAAATAAAAATAAAATGTCAGAAAATTCAAAAAAAATAAAATATATATATATATTAAACATAATATTAATAAAAATATAAACTTAAACTTTCAAATAAATGTTTTAAAAAAACATATTATCTAAAATTAAAATACATAAGCATACCATGTAAGGCGTATTTAAATGAAAATTTAAAAATAAAATCAAACATATAAAATATTTTCAAGCATGTAAAGCTCACAATCTCTTAGCTAATGATTTTTTATAATTTTAATTGCCTTTTAAGAAGATACTTTATTAAGATGAATGAATGACAACATTAGCAAATAGGGGGTTCTCGGAGTTTCGGTGAACGAGCAAAGCAAGCAAAAAAAGCAAAAAAGCGTAAAATTTTCAAAAGGCGCCTGGGCTAAGGCAGAAGGTGCATTAGGCACACCAGGCGTGTGCCTTCTCAAAGTGTTGCGCCTAGGACCTAGGCAAAGTGCCTACCCTAAAATGCGCCTCGTCTGGGCACCTAGGCGCACCTTTTAAATCACTGTTTCAGATCCCTTACCCATTTCTTCATGTACTCTTTTTTTCCACAATTTCAATGGTCGGTGATTCCCTCCTACTCTCTTCAAATTCAACAATTTCCTGTTCCTGCTGAAAACTATCTATTCTCTTTATGGAGCCCCCTTTCCTCCTCGATAACTTTCATCTCATCTCTAAAGGAATGCAAGCTTCTGTGTTTATCTCCTGTCTCTGTGAAATTGTATCTTCTATCTCCTTCACAATATCCTCCCTTCAATCATCTCCAACAATGTCATCCAACTCATCTTTCTAAATTTCTTCTTCAAGAGTTCTCACTGACAATGTCTTCTTCAAGCACATTGATTCTTTACACTATCAGATTCTTCCCTTGATCTCCACGACTCCACTGTCTCATTTCTTCTTATTATTGTAAATATACCTGGATAAACCAGACAAATTTGCCTCTTCCTTCATTTCTGTCTTTTTTTTATTAGCAACACAGAAAAGATTTCATTAAATTTAGATAAAAAATATATTTTATCTCTGTCTTTTTACTTACTAGAATCTTTACATTGCGATTTTTCCTTTGAGTCAATGATTTATTATCATGATAGCATTGAATCTTAGGCTTGCCTAAGCTTGGGGGAATGATGATAGATCTAATTTATTGTCTCCTAGAAAACCCCTTTCTAAATTCTTCACGAGGCCAAACCACTACCAATCTGTTGGTTTTGTAGATGTGGTCAATATTAGTTGTTATGCCCCTTTAACTTCCCACCATTTTGCTCCCAGTTCTTTTTTCTTCAGAGGAATTATGTGGTCCCCACCACTTATTTGAGGTGGAACCACCATTTACCCCTTCCACACGAGATCTGTTTCTTGCCATCAGATCATCCTTCTGAAAATATGTCTATTCTACTCCTTCCAATGAAGAAAAGGGTAAAAATATTACAAAGAATCTCAATTCTTTTGCAAAAGCCTTTGATTGGACTGCAGGGGGGGCACCGTGGCAAGAAAAGATCTGATAAACTTATTATCCACTCCCTCTTGAAGAGTGCAATAAGGTAGAATCAGACCACATAAGGATAGGAACAACAGGTAGTAAATGTGAAATAAACTCTTTATAGATTCCACAAGGAAACCATCTTTTCTCAAGATTCCTTCCTCTGGAAATAAGACGATTGATAGTCATGAACACATAGGACAGAGACAATTTGTTCTTTTCAGTATTGCATATCATTTTCAATCATAAGGCCTCCACAATTAACCAATGTGGAAGATATAAAATTAAATTGGTTGCATTTTAATTTTTAAAGCTCAACACAATTACTTCATATTGATGTACTAATCTAAAGATCAAGTGGTTTCCAGGTCAGTGTCTATCCTCTGCAAGAGAGAGTGTGAGAGAGAGTAAATAAGAATGAAACTAAAAACTAAGGGGTTACTTATTAACACAATGCAAGTAACAAATAAAACAAAAAGAATAGTTGTAAGAAGATTACGTGAAGTAAGGTGGGTAATTGAAGAAATGGGGTAACTTAAAGTCACCCAGTCTCTGCATCTCTCGATTGTTTTGTCCTGTAGAAAAGACCTTTTAACTGCAAGGCTGCAACTTAAAAACAATAGATGAATATAATTTAGCAAGATAATGATGGATCAGGTGAAAATATTTTTATTCCCCAATCCACAGTTTATTTTTTTGTTCAGGAAATAATTGACCATGCTTCATGTACGCAAGTTAAATTCTTCTTTTTACAGTATAATTTTTTATCCACCAAGGCCTTACAAATAAACAAATTTAACATATAACCAAGAAAAAGAAGTATTGAAAATGCAACAGAATTTATTTTTTCAATTTGAAAAAAAAAAAAAACAGAGATTGGCTTTCAAATAAATATTCCCATGGTCTCCTTCTTTGGATGCAAATATAAAATAAATAATACCACAACCAACAAGTTTCTGACTAAATTCAATTGGAAAGTCTAGCAATTTTCTCCAGGTAATTGTTTGTGCAGGAAATGTTACAGGGGACAGCTGGAGATGATTTGTTTGGCTTCCTAAATAGAAGGACCCATTTTTGGTACTTATAGGAGAAGCACATCTGCAGTGGAAGAATGAACCCACCCTCTTTTTAAGGAGTGCAGGAAAATAATGAGAAAGAAGACCGTTTCAGAGAAAACCTCCATTAAAGCATTTCGCTCAAACCAAACTTTATACAACATCTACGTACATTCTTAAGAAAACCTAGAAGCAGAAGTATAAAATTACCTAATATAAATAGCTGTTCCGAATATAAGTCCAATAAACCTCTAAAACTAATTATTAGCCCGATTAAGCAGTTTCTGTTAATAGTTCTCTGGAACCAACGTACTCTTTTCTAACCAATTTCTCAAACTTGAACTAAAACCTTCGATTTGCAATCTCAAATACTATTCAGAACCGTAATTTTTTCCTTCGTTAATCAGAACTAGCTATTCCGAAACCATTTAATCACATTCAGTCAATAAACCTAAGCCAAGACATGCCCAGAAACAAAAACAGAAATCCACATAAACTAGAAAAGAAATCAAGAACAATTACAGAGAGATAAGCAAGATTAGAAAGAGAGACGCCAACTTCACCTGCTAGAGATCGATCAAGTTTGAGACATTACATCGTTCAGCAGATTGATTCGAAGCCCGGGAGTCGGTCACACCAGCCTTTGTGGCTTTATCACTGGAGAGGGAGAGAGATATCAGCTAATGGTGATCACGGCGTCCTCTACTCCTACGACCGATGATGATCAACCCATTAAAACTGATCAACGAAGGAGATCGATTTGTGTTAATCGTGATTCGAAGGGTCCCACACAGAAGGGGCCATGTTAATGCATGTAGGTTCCATTCTGACGTCTGACAAGTGGTGGATCATGTGGAGAACGAAGAGCATATACACCGAAAACCTAACAAAATCGTGGCAAGATATCGGATCAGATGATCGGATCTACCTCCATCCCAATTCGATTCGGTTTACACAAATGCCTCATCCTATCCGAAATCCGATTAGGTTTATGCGGGTTTATTCTGACCAAAACCCGATTAAGACTGCCCGACCCTAACCTGATATGTTGGGTCAGTGTGGGTTTACCACCTAACCCAACTCACCAACTCACCCCTTCTTTATATATATATATATATATATATATATATATATATATATATATATAAACTCCTAAATTTTCTTGTTTAATAATATAACCTTGATAAAAATGACATTAAATTATTGGGCAAATTTTTTAAACTATTCCTAAGGTTTAGAAAATTAACTAACTCTACCTCTATTATTTTAGTATTGTCTTAAAATATTTCTACCAAGTATCTTACAATACGAAAATCATTTTTGCCCTTATCAGCGAAGGAAATGGGGGTTGAGGTGAGGGAGGAACCCGTCCAAATTCACGGCAACCATCCCCTTATATGGAGTTGATCCCTTGATTCAGACAAGATTCCAAAGCTATAATTGACCCCTTGAGCTAGACAAGATTCCGGTGCTGGAGTTGAGCCACCGCCACCAACTCTACTGCGATTCCAAAGCTGAGCTTGAGAGATCGTAACGGAGAAAAAACCAATTGATGAAAACACAAAATCACAACTAAGAAAAAAATAAAAGAACTAATTGATTAAAGACTACCGGTGATGCTTCCTCTGAAACTCATCTAAGGGAATGAAAGAAAACAACTTACATGATCCATGGGCTTGGATTTCAGGTACCGTTCAAAAGTTTGGCTTTTAAGGTTTTCGGCTGTTGTTTCAAAGGATGAGTTTCAGGAAAATTTTGCTGAAATTTCTGGTAGCAGATCAGCAGTCTTAAGTTATGAGGTGTTTTGAGTTTTGAATCTAAACTAAGAAAGTTTAAGGTGCTAAAGGGTTTTGGAGCTTTGCAAAATCAGATTTTTTTCATCGTCTTGTTTCAAGCAAGGCACGACTATACTTCATGTGAAATCAACTTCATCAGGTTCCCGTTATACTTGCTGGTATCCCCTTGGTTCAGTTGAAAGAGAACGAAATCTTTCTGCTTCAATTTCTTCAATTTCCTGCTCTATCAATGGTGTTGGGCTTTCCACATCATTTTTTTATTTGGTTTAATGTTTATACTAGCGGGCGGGATGCAGCCCTAGTGCACAGTTATCCCAACCCTTATCATACTTGAACAATTTTGTCTTTAGAACCAGCCTTGATTAACCACAAATTTAAGTTGCACATATTGATGGATTAACCAGTTAACAATTGGATACCTTGATTAACCTGAATACCAAACGCCCAGAAGTAGCTTTATTTTTCCGAGCTCTTTATTAATTATTTGTAGCCATTTGAATGGTTTAGCTTTCGTTTGGAATCCAACCAAATACACCTTTCACAAATTTTAAGCATTTACTTAAATAGGCTATCTAAATTAAATGAAAAAAAAAAGGAAACTCAACAAACAAAAAGCCTAAGAGAAATATAAACTGAAACACAAGAGCATAGGATTCCATCAAACAAAAAGAAGAATAATCATGTGGTATTCGATAAATGCAAATGTCAAAATCAGCATCTGTTCCACAAGCTGATTCTGGGCTCATTAATATCTTTGCAGTCTGCATCAACGCCCATAGAGTCCCACCATCTAAAGGAACAATTCTTTTATTTTTAAACATCAACCTTGTTAGTAAAGATGACAATGTATTTACAATAATTCCCTACTCAGGGATGTCAAAACATAGATCCATCTTATAATTACAAGCAAAAAGGCAAAAATATGATGAGCTATATCATTGTCTATCCTACTGACAAGTAAGATTTTATATACATCAAAAACAGAAATAATGTTATTCATCTTTACTTGGCAAGAAAAATAAAACAGAAACCATGTTCTTCACAATCTTAAGTATCTTCTCAGCCCAATGGCATTCCAATTGCAGCTGGTTCATCTATTTCATGACAAGTCTATGGCTCCTATAACTGCCCACCATTCAGCTTCAATGTTGCTTCTTGCCATGCATTGGTATTGTGAAGCAAATATAACCTTGTCATTTCGAAACTCAATTACTATCAAACCTATAGTAGCATAATCTGTAAGTGGCTCATAGGATCCATCCACATCTAAAAAGCTTAATTATTGTAGAAAGRATGTWATMTATAAGTTTACTATAAACAACCTATTTGTATTTGCATACTCAGATTATGCATTTAYTTTTATAATGCTAGTATGTGCCCTCACAACTTAGATTACTAAATGATGGATATTTGTGAGTGGATTGGGAACTCATTCCTGTGTTAACATACATAGAGCTTTGCCACAAG